GCCTAGTACTGTAGTAGTAGTAGACTCCTGTGTCTGTGTCAGTGCACGAGGGCGGAATTTCTTCGTATTCTGAGGTACTATTGAATCCGCAGCATTTCAACTGAAAGTAGGTAGTGGCAAAACAAATTACTGTCTCTAGAATAACAGTACAGTATAAGCAGGGAACAGTGAAATTACATTGCAATTCAATTTCACTGTTCCCTGGTATAAGCCTATTAATTAGGTATTTTATACAAGGGAGGTAAATATATAAATATTGACATACATCTAACGTCTAATTTGTCCAATTGTTTTTTACTCTGTGGTTTCTTATTTGTTCAAAACATAATTAGGGTCTATTTCCAGGTACGAAATAATTCAAACGATTTGAAATATCCTATACAGAGCCATATAAATAATTATAGTCTAATAACAGAATATGCCTAACGCAACAAAATTATGGTTTGCATTGAATTAGGATATTTAAAATTACAAAAGGATTCAATTAAAATGTGAATATTATTTGTAACACAATTCGAGTTGGTATCAATATATTTTACTAGTTGAGAAGCTCATTTTGCTAGTTACATTTTTAACAACTAGCACATTTTAGCAATAGGTTGCTAGTGGCTGAAAAAGTAAATTTCTAGCCCTGCCCGCCCGCGTCAAAAAGTTTGGAAATTGATGCGCTAATATTTTTTTTTTTTTTTTTACATATTTATTTATTTTTGTTTGTCGCATCGTTTATTTTAAATGCATAAAAGCATAAAAACCAAATGCTCACAAAATATAAAGCAATTGGCTCCGAATTCAGCAGACTTCAAACTTCAATTGATTAGTATTAGACATTGGGATCGCCGTAAAGTTGAAAATGCAAAGCCCTTTCTTTAAACTTGTTTACTGTTGCTAAAAATAAACAGCTCCCTAACTGCGGTTAAAAACAAACAACACCACAGTCCGACCCTAAAGAAACCCGCCAAGTGGGCTGAATGGATCGTTGATTCACATCATGAAGACACAGAGAGACTCACTGCTAAAAATAACTTACATAATGCATTACAAGTGGGCGGTCTTTTATGTGATGGGTGTGTTTGGTTGGATTGGTTGTTGGTTGTTGTGCAAAAACTCTACCTACGACATCAAGAAAGAAAGTTTAGGCAAAGGCTAACCTAGCTTGAGGTAAAGACCAAAGCCTGGATGCCTATGCCTGCTATATAACTATAATTAGGGTGTTCCCTTCCCTTTGATGCTCGAGTAATGTCCAATTTTTTCACTGGAATATAGGCCTAGTTTGGGATAGGCCATTGAATCAAAGGGCAGTTGTTTTAAATGCATCTGCCACTTTGAAAAACGATGTCATGTTCATTCTGTTCATGCACACGGAAATCCCTGGGTATAATCCCACCAATTACCAATCTATTGGAGCCTGGAAATGGTACTTCTACTGTGGCGGGTCCAGGAAGTCGAAATAGAGGGGACCCAGGGAGGTACTTGTGCAGATGGAGTATCCACCCACCTTAGCCCCACAACGGTTGGGGCTGAGGTACCGGTAAGACAAAATTATTATTATGTCACATCTAGATTATGATTATGATTATGTCACATCTAGATGACCGCAAATGGCGCTCCCCAGTCTCAGATTTAGATTTGAATACAATTTTGTCTGTTTTCTCCATTTTTTTTTGGATAATTTTGAAAAAATTAGGAAGGCCCCCATGCCGACTGGGCTTCCCCTTGAATCCACAACTGTTCAATATAACACTTGACATAGCCTATCATTTTGTTTCACAAACGACTAATTCCTAATGTCAAGCAAAAGATTTTTGTAAAAAAAGTAGAAAAAGTGTTGAGGCCAATGGCCCCGCAGGCCTCCCCGCTTCTGCAAACATTGGAATCAGATGAGCCAAACACGGCCAAGGGTGACACTTGTAAAATATAGTATGATAACTAAAGAAAATAGTAATGATATTTCAATTTTTTTTTATACGGCCTTTGTATGTATGTTTTTTGTCATCAACAGCCTCAAAATGAACATATCGAACTGCACAGAAAGAGGCATGGCTATCGGTTGGACTACCATGAGAGAAAGTAAGTGTGAAGCCATATTTCATTAATTTTACAAAGTTATCCTAACATTTTGCTGTGTGTTGATATCTGGATATACGGCTGTCCCGAGGCAAAACAACGTAACTGACATTGTTGTCGATTTTGAGATAATATCATTTGGGAGTATCCGTCTGAATTACCTGTGAAAATTTCAGGTCTCAACAATGATTTGTGTCAGAGATAGCACCACCTATCTTTAAGCACAAAACTTAAAATCTAGTGATTTTCCATGGTAAAACAACGTAACTACAAGATTACGGGGTAAAACGACATATTTACAATGATGATACGTTGTTTTGCCTCGGAATGGTATTCAAAAATTGTTTTGAGCTGATGGAGTTTGGCAAGACGAAATCAACTGGTTATTGGTGTTTCCATATCAATAATTTTAACAGCGACATATGAACAAGCTAAATAATGCATATGATTGCCCCCAAACAAGATAAATTCCAAAAATATGTCCCATTTACAACAACACTGAGTCTGACATGTTTCCGAGGCAAAACAACGCATCTGTGAATATTGCTAATAACTTTGCAATAAACAAATGGTTGTAATTAAAATTTTACATATAATCACAACAAAATATAGATATACAATCCTGCAAAATTTCAGAAGGGTACAACAATTTATTACCAAGTTGCAAACGTGCAAACTTTAACTCTATTTTTCTTCAAAAGTGAAAATTTCAAAAACTGAAAGGTCCACTGATTAATCTCAGATAAAATAGTATAATACATACTCCCAAGTATCGAAATGCACGCCATCATATTGGGATTCCATAATTCGACATTAATTATGTCATCATCAGGAAAATTTCAAGTTACATTGTTTTGTCAATTAACGGCCATATACAGTACAGTATATAATTTGCAGGCCCGTAGCCAGGTTTTTCCAAAGGGGTTTCTGTTCAGGGACGAAGCCCCTCTGGGGTCAGTGAAACCCCCAAAGCCAGAAGATTTTTGTTGTTCTATGGGTCTAAATAATGCTATGAAAGCAGTTATGTTTGAAAAAGTCTGCAGCAAAATATTCTGGGTGGGTCTGCATTACATTACTGTAGTTGGGTTTGAGGAATGAACCAGTGTCAAAGGCACTACTGTGGCAACCTATGCATGGAAAAAGAAAGAGGAAGACGGAACCTGAATTATCTTGACGTGTTGTGTGAGGACACTGGACTGGAGGCCACTGACCTACCAGCAGTGATGAATAACAGGACTCTCTGGAAGGCCATCACACTCCAGACCAGAAAATGCTCGGCATAAATAAGTGAGTGAGGACTTGTTCGGGAAAGGGGATTTGCCCGAACCATAACCCCCCTGGCTATGGGCCTAATTTGTAGTTTTTATTGTTGTTATTATGAAAATTGATGTATAGGCCTACAAGTTTTCTACATTTATTAAGAACTCATTTATTCAATTTATTAACAGGAGGAAGAAGGAGGCTCGTGAACCCCATGAAAGAGCCCACAAAGCCAAGATGCTTACTGGCATCAAGTAAGTATTGATTAAAGTATTAATATTTTTAGATATGGAAGTTAACTAATTACAAATATTATATATCGCACTACATCTTCATTTAAACTAAGTTTGTTGTTGCACAGCTGGGCTGATGTAAGAAATAAGATTATGGCATCTCTAGATGGCTGGAAATGGCACTCTCAGAGTCAATATTTAAAATATAATTATCTTTTTATCTCCATTTAAAAAAAAGTGTTTTGAACAATTTAGTGAGAACTAGTATGCCAGCAGGCCCTCCCCTGATATTCCAGGTCTTATAAAGGTGCATATAACTGTTAATATCAGGTTAGCTGAAAGTCTTAGTAGTTGCCAGTATCCACAGATTTAACAAATGATGTAGTGTGAGCAGAGAAGTTTACTTTATATCATCATCATTGCTAACTTTGTTCATACATCATATTTCTGACCCAAAGTGAATAACTTTATATTTAGACAAATTAAAATGTGGATTCTCCATAGATTTACTCAGTATAGAAGTTAAACTTTGCTTGAAATAAACTGGATTTTTTTTTAATAATGAAAGAAACTATTCAAATTACAATCAGTTATTAAAATTATATCTTTTCTGTTTAAGAGCTAAGATGTACAACAAGAAGAGACATTCAGAAAAAATACAAATGAAGAAGACGTAAGTGGACAAGCTATTAAATAAGCGATAGATAGATGTATATGTTTTTGTAATTATGTAACAAAAAAATTTATTATCATTTAAACCCC